CAAAATCTCTACTGATTTTTTTTTTTGCAGAAATTGACAGGCAGAGATTGCAGTGAGCCGAGATAGCATAATTACAGTTCAAGGTTGCAGTGAGCTATAATTGCACTGCTATACTCCAGCCTGGGCAACAGAGTGAGACCCTGTATCTTGAAAGAAACAACAAAACACACATAAAAAAAAAAACTACTAAATTTAAAAAGAGCCCAAAGTATAAGACTCTTAAGTGAAAATGTGTGTAAATATTCATCATTTAGGCATTGGTTTCCTAGATATGATCTCAGTAATGCCTAAGTAAACAAAGACAAAAATAGACAAATCGGATTACATCAGCATCACAGACTCTTGTGCATTAAAGGACACTATCAAGAGACTGTCCTAAAGAAAAGAAAACCCACAGAATGAAATAAAATATTTGCAAACCATGCATTTCATAAGCATCTAGTATCTAGAATATATGAATGAAGATCTCTAACAACAGTTAAAAAAAAAAAAAAAACCCATTAAAAAATGAGCAAATGATTTGAACAGACATTTCTCCAAAGAAGACATACAAATGGCAACCAGGTATTTGAAAAGGTGCTCAACATCATTGATCATCAGAGAAATGCAAATCAAAACTACAATGAGATATCATTTCAGACATACTAGAAAGACTATAATAATAATTTTTAAAAGGGAAATAAATATTGGCAAGGATGTGGAAAAATTGGAACTCTAATAAATTGTCGGTGGGTATATAAAATGGCATAACCATTGTGGAAAACAGTTAGTTAGTTCCTAAGAAAGTTAAACATATAGTTCTCATATAACCCAGCAATTCAATTCCTAGGGATATAGCCAAGAAAATGAAAATGTATGCTCACACAAAAGCTTACATTTTAATGTTCACAGCAGCATTATTCATAATAGCCAAAAAGTGGAAACAACTCAATTGTCCACTAACAGATGAATGAATAAATAAATTGTGATCTATCTACACAAAAAAATACTATTCAGCCACATAAAGGAATGAATTACTAACACAATCTACGATGTGGATGAACCTTGAAAACACTATGCTGAGTAAAAAAACTCAGAAAAAAAAGGCTACATGTTGTAGCCTTTCATTCCATTTATACGAAATGTTCAGAATGGGCAAAACTATAAAGAAACAAAACAGATTAGGAAGCGTTCAGGGCTGGGCAGGGAGACTGGGCAATGGCTGCCCACGAATATGGGATCTCCATTAGGGGTGATGAAAACGTCCTGGAATTAGTGCTTTTAGTTGCACACCTCGTGAATATGATATACTGAGAACCACTGAATTGTACACTTTAATTTTTGGGGGCGGGGAGATGGAGTTTCTCTCTTGTTGCCCAGGCTGAAGTGCAGTGGCACAATTTCGGGTCACTGCAACCTCCGCCTCCCGGGTTCAAGCGATTCTCCTGCCTCAGCCTCCCAAGTAGCTGAGATTACAGGCATGTGCCACCTGCCCGGCTAATTCTGTAATTTTAGTAGAGACGGGGTTTCACCATGTTGGCCAGCCTGGTCTAGAATTCCTTACTTCAAGTGATCCACCCGCCTCGGTCTCCCAAAGTGCTAGGATTACAGGCGTGAGCCACTGCGCCCGGCCAATTGTACACTTTAAAATGATAATTTTATGGTACATGAATTGTTTCTTTAAAAACAAGGGAAAAAATACATAGAAACAGTTTAGACATGCATTATCTTCTGTGAATGGCATTGTCAACAATCCAACATAGATTAAATTAATTAAGAAACAAGAATCAGGCTCATTTTTTACAATAAAAACTTTTGATATTTTTATACATGCTGCTTATTCAAAACTTATAGGTTTTCTATATGGGAATTATAATTCCCTTCATAACCTTTAGTTTCAATGGTAGAATGACACGAATATTTTAACGTAACAATGACTGTCTACTTCAATTGCCTATACACACACTTTCAGTAAGTATGGACCATTTTTGTAATTCTTGCCTTTTTTTCTATTTTAAATTTGTGCTGATAACATTGATTGAAATATAATCTTTTGTGTAGGGGCTGGGCACGGTGGCTCACGCCTGTAATCCCAGCACTTTGGGAGGCCGAGGCGGGCAGATCATGAGGTCAGGAGATCAGGAGATTGAGACCATCCTGGCTAACATGGTGAAACCCCGTCTCTACTAAAAATACAAAACATTAGCCAGGCGTGGTGGCGGCGCCTGTAGTCCCAGCTACTCGGGAGGCTGAGGCAGGAGAATGGCGGGAACCCGGGGAGCGGAGCTTGCAGTGAGCTGAGATAGTGCCACTGCACTCCAGTCTGGGTGACAGAGCAAGACTCTGTCTCAGAAAAAAAAGAAAATACAATCTTTTGTCTCTTGAGTCTGGTAATAAAACATTTGCACTTGTATTTTTTGTGTGTCTTTGCTTTTCAAATTTTATTTTTTTCTAGTAATTTATTTTTATTATATTTTAAAAAGTAACCTTCTGCAATGGATTCGAAATTTTAACACAAGAGCTGGTCCTTCGCTACAGATGTTTTGAGAAGCACTTGTACCGGGCCCCTGGGTGTGGACGGAGTACTCTGTAATAAATTATCTACAACAAAAAGTTTACATCTTCCTAGGTAAATGTGTGAAATTTCTTCATTCTTTATCTTTTGTAACAATGGCAATGTTGGCCTTCCAGATGTTCTGGAGTGGGAAGGGGAGGGGTGACAGGCAGGGCTGTGACATAGTGGCATACATATTCCATCATTCCCCCTGTTTCTCTCCTTCTCTTTTAGGTCTCCATAGAGGAGGCTGGCTCCTTCTTACAGTGCCTCCAACAACGATTATATTCTGGGCTTCAGCATCCTTCTCTTGCCTGTACATTAGCTTTCTTACTTTTTTTTTTTTTTGAGACAGAGTGTTGGTCATTTCACTGGGGTCTAAGGAGGGACACGAGGTGAGCACATATGTTCAGTATGTCATCCTGAACTACAATAGCCAGGTTTTGGTTATGGAAAATAATAATGCTGAATGTTTTTTTGTCTGAGCATACATTTTCATTTCTCTGTGTAGATATTTAGAAGTGGATGTGTTTAACTTACTGAGTATCTGACAAATTGTTTTCCGAAGTGACTGTATCTTTTTTACATTCTCGCCAGCAATGTGTGAGGATTCCAGTTCCTCTAAATCTTTACCAGAATTTGATATTTTCCGTTTTTCCGATTAGAGACATTTTAGTGTGTGTGTCATAGTATCTCAGTATAGTTTTAGTTTGCATTTCTCTAAGCACTGATAATGTTGAGCAACTTTTCATATGCTTATTTGCTATCATAATATATTATTTGGTGAATTATCTGTTCATATCTTTTGCTGAACATTTTGAATTGTCTTTTTTTAATGGAGTGATAAGAGTTCTCTATTCTGATGCAAGTCTTTTTTCAGACACATGATTTGCAAATATTTAGTCTCAGCTTGAGACTAAACTTCGCATTTTCTTTTTTCTTTTCTTTTTATTTTTTTTGTGACGGAGTCTCACTCTGTTGCCCAGGTATTACAATAATAAATTTCCCAATATTAAACCATTCTTCAATTCCTAAAGTAAATTCTGTTTAGCCTACCCTTTTAATATATGGCTAAAATATTTTTATAATATTTTATGATTTTATACCTATATTCATGAAAAGATTATAGCTTCACATCTTTTTAAAGGTTTTTATCTTTTGTTATTAAGATTATTCTTGCTTCATAAAATGAACTCAATAATTGTTTGTTTTTTCTCTATGTTTTACTACAGCCTGAATAGCCTATGAATAATGTATTACCACAGAATTTAAAGGCATTTACTTGTAAAGCCACTTAAGACTAAAATCATGGTTCTCAAATCTAACTGCATATTAAAATCACCTGGAGAGCTTAAAAAATCTCAATGCACAGGCCACATGCCTGATGAAGGAATTCAGAATCTCTGATGTAAGGATTTTTAAATGCAAAATAAAATGAAAGGCTCAATAGTTTATAAAGTTTGTGCTAGATCTAATATCTTCTGGTTTTGTCTGTAACCGGTCCAGTAGTAAATACTGATTCATCTGTAAGCTTTCTGACATCAACTAATGGTGTCCATAGCAATAGAACTACAAGCTAGTTTCTCTGCCTTTATCTTACTTTAATTGTACACCAAACTAATAAGGTAAAGCACGTAATATAATAACTATTTTAAAAGCAAATAAAATAAACTGTGGAAGGTTAAGTGGCAAAGCCTCTTGACTCCCATCACTTTGGCATTTCAATCAATAATAGAGTCTAAAGACCAAACAATAAAACAATGGTTAACATAGAAAAAAAGAAACACGAGTTCATTAACTAACCAGGAGATCTTATTTCCAAAGAGTAAATCTGATTACATTGTTCCTGTTTAAAACCCTTCAATGGCTTCCTTATGCCTAAAGGAAAAAAAAAAATCCAAATTCCTTTGTGTGGCATAAGAGGTTCTTTGTGTAACACAAGATCGGGCCCCTCATCACCTCTCCAGTCGTATTTCTCAAAAGGCCTCTCTTGCTTCCTATACTCAGTCATGCAAAATGTTCTGCAATTCTCTGAATGCTCTGGCTTTGCTTTTCCTTTTTCTGCCCATGCCTGTGCCCAGGTTATTTGCTTTTTCTGAAAGATCCATCTTTCAAAACCTTCTTTTCCCTCCCTCCAACCCTGTTGACCAATTTATCTTTTAAAGTCTGATTCAGTTTCAGGGCCATCTCCTCTGAGACCTTCCTTCCTGACTGCTTCTCGAGTTCCCCTATAAAACAGTGACTGCCCGAAGAGCAACGACAGTTTGTAAATCATTCTATTCATGCTGCCTAGAACAAAGCCACACTTGTGTTTAATAAAGGTTTATCAAATGAATGAAGACTGGTCACCATTAGTCTTGACCCCTTCTATTTGAAATATGTGAAATACACAAAGTGAAAGATAATTTCTGATAGGGGCTGATATCAGGAACTGTAAGAGATCTGTCCACTGAACCCAAGGTCTTACCTATTAAATCTCTACTGTTGCCAGTCTGCGCCCCTGGATTTTCAAGGGGCTCCGTGGAATTGGAAGGCTGATGAAGCTGGTGACTGCCCTCCTGTAAGCGTGCTGTTTTGGTGATTCCAGTGCTTACTCCTTTCCTCAAATGTGGTCATGAGAAATCAGGAAAGTCAATATGCTTTCACTAGGAAAAAAGGAGGAAAGCCTGCTTTAATTGGCTGTTACATTTTTGATGAGGCGAAAATTCAAACAAAATTATGACCATAAGGACTATAATTGTTCTTTCCTGTTAATAACCTTAGTTAGCCAATTGGATTGTGAGTGTGTGGCATGCTCGTATTGTGTACGTGAGTAGGGAATGCACCTGCGTTAAAGTTCACATGTGCTTAAGAGCTTAGACACACCCGCAATTTGCAAGACAGCTTCACGTCCTGATGGGCTAAAGCTGTGTAAGAAACCTGAGCTGTAATTCCTCCACACAAATTTACATCCTGGGGTGCTCACTTCATCCTGTGGTCTGTATGCTCTGTGGCTACACACCTGGCTGAGAACAGAATTAATGATGAGAAACGTGCCTGCTTCTCTGCATAAAAGATGATGTCTGAGTAGAAGGTCGCCAAGGGAGGATTAAGAGCAAGAATGCGAGAATGTGCTCAGGAATCTGTGCGTGAGATGATGAGCTTGTGAGCTGATGTTGATTCTGTGCAGTTCCCAGCGTCTTATTTATAGGCAAGATTTTCTTGCTCTTCATTCAGCCTTTAATGTTTTAAGCAAAGATTTTTAAAAAGATCTCACAGGAAACAAGGAGCTGCAGTGAAACTTGGGCAGTCAGTTTGAATCTGAATAAATATTTGTCAGATTGGAGAAGTGCTGAAAGCATTAAATACATAGAGATTACTCTTTTTCTTTGGCAAGAAGCATGACTAGGACAGGTAAGGGCTACGAATTCCTCCGGATCACTCCCTCGATGATGATCTCTCCTTTGAATTTGCACTTTGTAGTTTGACACAGATTAGTGCTTCCTAGTCCTCCAACTGTAACACATGCCTCAGTTTCCCTTCTCCGATAAGATTGGGATATCTTTGGGTGTAGAAAAAAAAACAGATGGTCCTTTTTTTTGTAGCCCAGAAAATTCCAGGAACATTAAAACTGATTAGAAACTGGTACACAAGTGTTACTTGCTTAATTTATTACAAATCCTTTAAAAATGAGGTAATGACTGTCATTTAAAAATAAAACCAAACTGTGAAGAACTCTCTTCCTGTTAGTGGAGCCTTTCCACAGAATTTTTTTTTTTTTAATGGAATGGGGAGGCAGTGGGCATGTTGAGTTTTCAATCGAATATTTTGCTGTAAAGAACTTTGGAGGAGAGGAAAAAAGAAAACGCAAAGCCAAACAAAGCTGGTATTTTTCAAGTGCTCATTTAATTTCAGAACCACAGTGTCTTTCATTGATTTTTTATCTTTAAAAAGACAGCAATGCCCATCTGCTCAAAATCCCATCCAGAGATGAAATTATGAATTAAAGCTGTGTTACACATGTACAGTTGAGACATCCTCTGTTTGTGCACTAGGCCTGCCAGATGACACACTGAAACAGCCTGGGGTCTGTGCTTGGGGTGCTGCCAAGGGAGCAGATACACGGCTGATGAAAATCATCCATCATTTCAAATCCGAGGTGCTCTATTCCTGCAGACTTCTGTTATGAACAATCTCATTTGATCTTATATTGAAACAAGCTGTCTTCAACACTCAGGCCTGGCCCCAGGCACAATGAGGCAGATGGAATAGGAATCGCTCATTCCATGCCTGCATTTGCCGGAATTCTAGGATTTCATCAGAAGTTTACTTGTGTGAGCCTAGCCTGACAGGATCAACTTCACTGAGTTGTGCTTCAATATCAGTTCTCATCTCCTTCAATTTGCGCAAAAACTCTCATAGAGGATAGTGTTCATCATTTTTTCACTTAAAGTCATATATATCAGTCTTTATATAGAGCAATTCTTTTTAGATTCAGTTTCTGGGAAAAAAATTAAAAAGTCACATGATCTTTCTGTCTGCTAATGATATTATGCACATTGCTCTTGTCTCTATTTTTGCCTTGGCCTCCAGGAAGCTCAGAGCCACATTTTACACTCAATTACAGAAATAACATTACATGCTAGTATTACCATATTTGTGATACTCTTTTCTGTTGATCCTTAGTTTCCATTTCCATTCTTCTTTTATTAAGCCTAACACATTTTTTGTTGTAAGCTATATCAAAATCATTTTGGAGAAAGGCCAGGCTTATATAAATGATAAAGAATAACCATCTTTTATTTCCCAGCTAAGTGGTTTGTGTTTTACAGTATATACTTTTAGAAGAAATAGACTGTTTCTTTAAACAGATGAGAATCAAGTATCTTGCTTCTTCATGAAGGTAACCATGGTTATATCATCCACATTGATACAGATGCCTGATAAAAGATCAGAATTGCGTTTGATAACCAGGTTTCTCTTACGCATTCTCAGCAGCTTTCAGTCTCTTAAGTTTTTAGTCTTCTTTATTTACTACATTAATCTTGAAAGTAAACATGGTTCTTATCTAAAATTAATATTGTAATATTAAAAGAATGTATTATAAAATAATCTATTTAATCTTTTAATATTTAAAAGATATTAAATAAACTTACAAAGACAACAGCAGCTAAGTTAGAATGGCCATGACTGAATAGAGAAAAACTGTAATAAAATAAAATAAAATAAATAAAATAAGGGAATGTATCCGTGAAATGTTAAGAAAGGCACTAGCCCAAGTAATCAGTACTGAGACTGCACCTTGGGTTTGCTTTAAAGCCTCTAGCATGAAGCTGATGGCTGCCCAGTCATCTCAAGGGTCAGCACTGTCCCTTAGGAGCTTACAGTTGAAGTCGACTAGGCAACTTCTTGGGCAGACGCTGAAACTCAGCACTTACACACAGGACTGATGTTGTAACTCGGAACACAGACTCCTCAGTTTCCCTTGATACTTTTTTTCTGAGGGCCACTCACATCCATCTCTGTCTTCTTTCCTGATCCTGTCATAACAATCATGTAAACTGAATCCTTTATCAGACACTCAACGGAAGCAGACTTTGTCAATTACTGGTGGAGGGAGTGTCCTAAAGAAGCTATCCATGAAAACAAGGGTGACCTGGCAGGCTTCACGAAGCCTTCACGAAGCCAAAGGGCAGGGGACGTCCACCCTCACTCAGGACACCCTTGGGGCACTCTGCGCATCGCCCTGCACAGCTGCAACTAGTTAAGCCCTTCTGGGCACCATGTGTTTCCGTGACCTGCGCTTCCTGTGTCTTGTGCTCAGAATTTTTTCCCATCACATCACATGATCCTGCAGTTTAGGGACAATGCTGACTTTTCCTCTGCCATCCTCCACAGCACACAGTGGGGCTCCTGCCACCCTGGGCCTTCTTGTGTCCTGGCTGAGCTGTGGACGGCTCCGCTCTCCCACCGGATCCTCCTGGGTCACGGAAGGATTCTTTGGATAAATGATCAGCGTCCTTACCCACCACCTGTGCGCCTTGGGCAACTGGAGTTCTCAAGCTAAAAGGCCTTCGTTTTCTCAGTTGTAAAATGAAGGGACTGCAGCAGCCTCCTGTTTTGAAGAATCCCACCTGAGTTTATATCAGAATAATCAGAGATACGTATATATATATCTTTTTACATTTTTAAAATGTTATTTCCCCCCAAACCATGTCAGCTTTAAGTGAGGAAATGAATTTTTTAAAAATGATGTGGCTGTGCCCTCCAGTGGCTGAGCGTGAAGTCATCAGGCTGTTCAGGTGACAGCAGGGCTCGCAGGAAAGCGCAGGCCCGGCTACACCCCAAAGGACGAAGGTGGGTCTAAAGAGAGGTGAATCTGCTATTCCGGAAAGCACCGAATCGCCGTGTAGACCGGTCGCCAAGTATAACTGCGAGCCCCAAGGCGTCACCAGCATGGGCATCCCAGCCCCGGTGCTTCGAGTCCTGCTTCTGCTTGGCTATCGGGAAAGGGACGGCTTCGGGCCCACTTGCAGGCTCTCGACACGCGGTCACTGCTGGGAATCCTCGCGGCCGCGGCTCTTCCCTCTCCAGCGGGAGAGAAGCCGCAGAGGCCTGGCCGCTGCTGCCTGCTCCCGACACCCGCCGGTCCGCCCCTCCGGCTGGGCTGCAGGGCCGGGGCGCCCACAGGCGGCAGCCGTCATCCCGCGCTCAGAGGAAGCCCGGCCGCCCCGGCTCCCCGCGCGCAGACGCAGCTGCGCCCCCAGCGGGGTGGGTCGCGGGACGGCAGCGGACGCAGCCCGCTTCCCGCTTCCCGCTTCCCGCTTCCCGCTTCCCGCTTCCGCTCGCTCCCCCGCGGGCCCAGCTGGATCGTCAGGTTTGCCGCAGGCCGAACTGGAGGAATAAACACAAAGCCCCAGCCCCTCGTGAATTGCAGGACCCGTCTCACGTGCAGGGTGTTCCCGCTGATTTCCGGACTCCTTGCAGGCAAAACAGTGAGTGAAAAACTGACAGTGAAGGTGGCAGGACTTACCTAAGTTATACAATGATAAATAAATGGCAGGTGAAAAATGGGACCTTTGGTTTCTAGCCAATGTCTAGATAACTTCCTCAGGAAGCGATTCGGCAGATGCAGGCCCGGGTAGCGAGGAGAATGGCCCCTTAGCCAGCTCTTAGGGTTCCCTGAGGGCTGAGCTAGGAGGGACAGAGGGAGAGAAAAGGTTAAAGACCCTTCGGGTCCTTAGCATCACCACGAATGAACGTTTACCGAGCACTTACTTTATAAAGAGCACTGTGATCGATGCTGGGGAATATTCAGAGGAATAAATAAGGCAATCTCATTTTCCAGGTCTACATCCACTGGAAGGGTCCCCTCCTGCAGGGACTCGGTACTGGTCAGCCACTGCGCCCTGGCTTTCGGTTCTGAAACATGCTGTAGAGTTCAGATATGTTTTCTGCCTCCAAGGGATTTATATGCCAGCAAAGGAAAAAAGACATATACATAAGGAGATAAATAATAGCCAAGATATTTTTTGAAAAGTAGTTGGGGTACAAATACACGTAACAACATTTACCATCTTAATCATCTATATGTGTCCCGTTCAGCAGTGTTAAGAACATCCACACCATTGTGCAGCCACACTCCGGAACACTTTTCACCTTGTAAAGCTGAAACTCCACACTCATTCAACAACATTTTCCCATTCCCCTTCCCCTAGCCCCTGAAAAACCACCATTCTACAGATGCGCCTTGACTTATGATGGGGTTAGGTCCAGATGAACCCATCATCGAAAGCTGACAATGCATTCCATGTCCCCAACCTACTGAACCTCACAGCTTAGCCCAGCCTACCTTAAACGTGCTCAGAACACTTACATTAGCCTACAATTGGGCAAAATCACCGAACATAAAGCTTATTTTCCAATAAAGTACAAAACATCCCATGTAATGTATTAAATACTGTACTAAAAGGGAAAAGCTCTAATAGTAAGTACTCAGTAAATGCTCAGAATGGTTCTATGGTGTGTTAGTCTGTTCTCACACTGCTAATACAGACATATGGGAGACTGGGTAATTTATAAAGGAAAGAGGTTTAATTGATTCACAATTGCACATGGCTGAGGAGGCCTCACAATCATGGCAGAAGGCAAAGGAGGAGTGAAGTCACATCTTACATGGCAGCAGGCAGGCAAGACAGAGCTTGTGTAGGGGAACTCCCATTTATTTATAAAACCAGTAGATACCATGAGACTTACTACCACGAGAACAGTATGGTGGAAACTGCCCCCATGATTCAGTTATCGCCATGCTTGACATGTGGGGATTATTACAATTCAAGGTGAGATTTCGTGGGGACACAGCCAAACTATTTCATATGGATACTCAAAGTACAGTTACTACTGAATGCATACCGATTTTTCACCATTGTAAAGTCACAAAACCGTAAGTCAAGCCATCTTACGTTAGAAATGGTCTGTACTTTGTCTCTATGAATTAAGACTATTTTAGGTACCTTATGTTAAGTGGGATCCTATAGTATTCATCCTTTTCTGTCTGGCTCATTTAACTTACCATAATGTCTTTGATGTTCACTCATGTTGTAGCACATGTCAGAAGTTCCTTTCTTTTTAAGGCAGAATAATATTCCATTGTGTGTTTATAGCACATTTGTGTATCCATTCATCCATCGATGGACACTCGTGTTGCCTCCACATTTTGTCTGTTGTGAATAATGCCGCAGTGAACATGAGTGTGAAAGCAAACATTTTCAGTATTTGTTGGAGTGTCTGCTTTCAGTTCTTCTGGGTAGATATACAGAAGACCCTATGGTAATTCTATGTTTATTTTTTTGAGGAACCACCACACTGTTTTCCCTACTGGCTGTACACTTTTGCATTCCTGCCAACAGTACACAAGGGTTCCCAAGACATCATTTTCAACCTTAAAAAAAAAAGCGGTTTCAAATTTACAGAAAAGCTTCACAAAGAGTACAAAGAACACCCATATTCCCCAGTTGTTAGCTTTTTACCACATTTGCTCCATCAGCTTTTGTCTTTATTGACAGACATATTCATTTTTGGCTATGATGCCCATCATCCCTAAATACTTTTGTGTGGACCTCCCCAAAGCGAGGGCACTCTCCTATGTAACCACCACACAACCCTCCCAACCAGGGCGTTGACATCAATTCAGCATCATCTGGGCCTCAGACCTCATTCACATTTCACTAACTGTCCCAAAGATGTATTTCCTTTTTTTCCTTTTTGGTCCAAGATCAGAATCGTGTGTTGCACTGAGCTGTCACATCTTATCAGTTTCCTTCCATCTGGAACAGTTTCTCAGTCTTTCCCTCTCTTTCATGTCTGTATTGGTTTGTTCTGGCTGCCATAGCAAAGCACCACAGCCTGGGTGACTTAAAGAACAGAAATGTATTGTCTCACAGTTCTGAAGACCGGAAATCCAAGTTCTAGGTATCGGCAGAGTTGCTTTCTTCTGGGCCATCCTCTCCATGTGTCTTCAGGTGATCTTCCCTCTGCGTGTGTCTGTTTCCTCATCTCCTCGTCTTAGAAAATCACTGGTTATATCAGATAAGGACCACATCAATGGCTTGATTTTATTTTTTTTTAATTTTAACTTAATGGCCCCTTTAAAGAAATTATCTCTGAATTATGGTCATATTTTGAGGTACTGAGGGTTAAACTTCAACATATAAATTTTGAGGGGGACATGATTCAGCCCATAACAGTGTTCTTGAGAGTCTTAAAAGATACACGCCCTTCAGAGTGTAAAATGATACATACCTGGGTCCCTCCGATGTTATCTCATGACTAGACTCAGTCCACACATCTTGGCAGGACTACCTCAGAAATTATGCTGTGTTCTTTTCAGGAGCAGGTGCCAACATTTTTCAATTGACCAAGTTGGTGTCTGCCAGTTCCTCCATGATAAAGTCACCATCTTGGACTCTGCATTTGATTAGTGTTTAGGTGGAGAGATTTAATAGCATGTCAGTATCCTGTTCTTTTGTCAAACCTTTACAGGTATCCTTAGCATCCAGTTAGGCTTTTTCAGTTAAGAGAGGGGAAGGAAAAGTGGAAAGAGAAAAAAAGGTGGAAAGAATAAAGTTTTAAAAAAAAGTTAAGATAGCATTTTAAGGTACTTAACTGGGAATGTTTTAAAGGCAAAACCAGTAACTTCTATTTTCAGTTCCTTGTTTTTCTTGTAGCTTTGCCTAGGATGGCTACAGTAATGCTTACGTAAATCAAGAAAATGTGCTCTAAAAGAGAAATTTAACTGAACAAAATCTCATTAGTAATGATAATTCAGCAGATTTTTTTTGAGAGTTTACTATGGGCTAAGGTTTCTCTAAGTATCAGTTCTTTTCATTCCGACTGCAATTGGATGAGGTGCCATTACTGTAATTTCTGTGTTACAAGTGAGTAAACAGAAGTATAAACCTGTTAAGCAACCTGTCCGGGGTCCTACAGCTAATATGCCTCCTTGGAGTCTCTGGGTCTAAAGCCTGTGATTGTAATCGTTACCTGTATTGCTATCTGGGCACAATGCAGCTACACAGGACCTGCAATGCTAGAGATGTGAGGTCCGACATGCTCCAAAGTTGAGTTCATCTCTAAATTTAGTGTCAAAATGACGAAGTGGTTTCCAAAATTGGAAAATGACTTTCCATTCCCTCTTCTAATTAGAATTTTAAAAATGCTTTCTTTGTTTTGTTTTTCAATTTCCAAATTTCATTTTTCAGAGGAAGTAATGCCCTGTCTTTGTATTTCTCTCAGCTGGCTTGAGGACAGGACTGAATTCTTTTTTTGGAATATGGAATGACCTGAATACGCAATGTAAGATCAGTAGCAACAAGTGCAAGTCAGTGAAAGAATTAGTTCCATAAACACAAAACATGGCCTGGCCAGCAAGGAAGGGAGGGTCTGAGTGCAGTCTTTAGCACATCCACACACCACTGGGCAAGATGTCGAACCAAGCCTATTTTTACCTAAGACACGGAGGTGAGTAAGTATCTCTTGAAACTGAGTTATTGGCCGAGCTAGGAGCTTTATACGCTCTAAATGACCATGTGAAGTTAGCATTTTTACCTTCATTTTGTGACAACAAAAGTGTGGTTCAGAGAGATTAAGGAGACGACCCTAGGTCAGTGCTGGAGCCCAGATGTGAACCCACATTTGTCTGGCTATCTCCAAATCTCATATTCTTTTTATTTACATCATGCTGACTACTTTTCAGTGAGTGATATCCCACTAAGAATTGAGATTGTGTTTCTCAACTCCCCCAAAGCTATGTGCCAGGCTCTCCTGGAATGTGGTCAGCACTCGATCATTCGATGGGTGGGAATGAGGTGCCCAGGAGTGAAGGTGCTGCCGTCAGGGAGGACCCCAGCTGCACTCACAGCTGTGTGACTTGGGTATGTTCCTCAAGCCATGTGTTCACCATTGTGCTCATCATAAAATAGGGATTATATCATCTGACTTATAGAGTGAAGAGGATTAAACGAGATAGTTGATACCACATACTGAAAATAGTAAGTGCTCAATCAGAGTCAACAATTATTAGTTTATCATAACTAACT